AAAAGCTTTAAAACTTCTTTCCCAGACTTAAAAACCAAGATAATAGTGATCAAACTAAATATAGTAACGATGTCACCATTTTGTTGCCATCGATCACGACCATACGACTCAGTGACTAAGTTTAAGGTTTTTGTTTTTACTAGATAATTGTGTTATTGATGTGTTATTGTTGACTAAGCGACTGCACGACCAAAAATTCATTTTTTCCGTGGCTCCTAAAAATGCGTGCCGGGGAACTTTAGACTTAAAAACACAAACAAAAGAGAGAAAATGGGTCAGTTTCAAATTATTAAAGTTAATAATTGGCTCCGCAGCTGAAGGGAATAAAACAAAAGAAATGAATTATTAAACCCTGAAACTTAATGCGATTTCTTTTCTTTTACACCCACAGCCTCGAAGCTAAATATGGATTTAAGCGATCCCCTGCGTCGAACTCGCCTATTCACAGACCTCCTATTTTCTCTTTAGAGATCGTCCAGTGCTCGTATGGAAATAGAAACCGCGGGCGTTTATTAAGCGCTGGCCCAAGGGTTGGTTTATTTAAATGTCGGTTTATCCTGGATTATGAGCAAAAAATGCATACGAGTTCACGTGTCATGGAAACTAACCCGCCTGGAGCCAATCGTCCTTTGACCAACTTGGCACAGTAATGCTCCTATAGCGTGAAAGCAAATAGAGCAACACTTTTATTTTGAGTAACCTCAAATTTCAAATCAAACACAATAATGGTGGAAATCGAATCAGTTACGATTTTATGTTTCTACTTAAAGGTTTCCAAAAAAACGGTGGTCTTGATTTGAATCTGCTATCAGGAGATCTTTTTTTCGAGGAAAGTCGGCGGACGCCTCCCAAACAAAAAGGGAAGAAGGAGCGGCTGATCGCAGGTTAAACCAGAATTTGCCAAGATTAAGGTAGAGCAGAAGAGAGTCAAAGTAGTTTTACAATACCTTAGGATGCGTTCGATAGATAAAAACAAAAACATGTAAAACTACTAAAAAAAAACATTTTCTTTTGTTCAATTATGAGTATGTGTAGGATAAGTTAAAATTCACCAGAATATCTGGTAAGATGGCATACTTCAAGTGTAAGTTCAAGTTTATTAAAAAAACACTTCTGATACAAGCCATAATTAATCCTTGCCCGCAAAGTAGCCTATAGTTAATCGAGGCGGGAAGGAAAGGTAAAAAAGTTAAAAGAATAGGGTTAAGGCATAACAATAAAGTCAACCAGATACACGAACATCAACATATTGAATCAACTAGACAGTGAATACATATGCTTCAAAATAGGTAAATGAAATAAGGTATGAGTGAAGTTAAACTAAAAAAAATAAACTGTCAGCATCATTAAGACTTTTCTTGGCTATGTTTTGAGAACATTTAAATAGATAAAAAAAAAAAAAAAGATTTACTAAATATGTCAATTAAAGTACGCACGCCAACATAAGTATCCTGCAGTATCAAAATATCCAGCAGCCGACTCTGGAGGGTATTCTTAAATTTATATTTAGGTAGAGCACGATTACTGTCGGAAATACGATTCCATATTTTTGCACCAATTCTTGAAAAGGAGTTCTTCATATGGTCAGTTCTCGAGTGCTTAATATAGAAATTGCCAGCCGCAGAAAATAGCGTATTATGATGACGTACTTTTGAAGAATAGGTAAATAACTTGGAAACGTTTGGAGGTGTTACATTATTGGATACAACGTGCATAATAAGGCAGAGTGTTTTAGAATAAAGACAAGAACGCTCTAGGTAGCGTTGAGTCTCGCTTGTTTGTAGATAAGATAAGAAGTGAGGAGGCGAATAGAGCGCGAGCGTTCATCACTCGGGGGGGGAGGGTGGGGGGGGGGGGGGG